AGTTCTTGTCAGATTCAACTGCTATAGTTCCCCTATTGACCATAAGAATTGGCAGGCATGAGCAGAGTTCCATAGCTGAAGAGACTACAGGCATCATTACAGGAGGTGATTAGGAGACATCTCATCCTTTCTGCAAAGGAAGATCTATTGACCACCACCTGACCTTTATTCTTAATATTATCCATTGTTTAAAATCTGTCCCCATGTTGCCTCATAGGAAAAAGAGGTGGAGCAATTTCCTTAGTATCTGCATACCATGGGAAGTTGCTCAAACCAGGCTTACCTGTGTGGAAGGATTTCACCTTGAATAGGCCATGCTTGCTGTATTTCTCACTGTGTAATAAATCTGGCTTTATTAAATATAGGGATTACAAGAATTTTTCCATGTGCTAAACTCCTAATTGTCAGGGTTTCAGATTAAATGTCCCAAAATTTTCTAAACTTTTGAAGTGTTATTTTATTTGTTTCAAAGCTTTTATATGTCAACTGTATTTTAAACTTTGAGCAGGCAAAATTGCCCCTACTCGGGGTACCATGGCCTGCCTCTACCTGTCCAACTAGTCAGTGTTTTCATTTGCTAGATTTTGGTTTAGCTGTGACGACTATTTACCCTAGTGTATCCAGTCTTTTACAATGTTCAGTGTTTCTTCTCACATCAAAAGCATGGGTCTTTTCTTGTGCTTAAGTATTGTGTTTTAGAAAATTTACTGATACTTTCATGTTCAATCTTGTGAATTTTGTTTATTTCTATTATCTTTTTAGATTTCTTGAAGTGTAATTGGAAGTTGAACAGTGATATTTCTTTCTGTTTATGTGATCTTTTTGCATACTTGACCAATCCTAAGATCCAATTTTATCCAGCACAGCATGGTTAGGAAAATTTTTCAATTTGATCTTTGATTTGGATGTAAAACTGGTTGGCAGGTTCAAGCAGAATGTAGAGGAGATCTTCGACCTGATCCCCGGGTTGATGCCATTAGCGTCATAGCTCTTGCAATTCAGAATGATCATGATCTTGCAATTGAAGTTAATGTGCTTTTGCATAGTAAGACTGACTGTTGTCTGAGGTATGGTAATTTTAGTAAAGTAATTGCATTTTATATTTGATTTTCATCTTTTCTTTGGATTTATACTGTGAATATATTTGTTTGATTAGCAGAATTTCATTTGCTTTCTAGTTAGTATGGTGGAAGGGACTTGAAAAGGAGAAAAGCTTCTTTATGTTTGTTCCAAACTAGATCTCCCATCATATGCTTCTGAGGAATGTCTTGTTCTCCTTCAGACCTTCAATTTTTTTTTTAGTGTTACTGATGAGGATTGCATCATCTCTTGGAGTCTGCTTAACCTCCACAAACAATATCCTCTCTAGATTGTATGACTTTTCTAGGGAAAAAGCAAACAAAAGCATTTCTTTTATTATGTTTTGGAGCATAATTTACACAGTGCTCATGCTCCAGCATAGTCAAAGGGAATAATTTTCTGACCTTATTTAAGTAATTGTTTATTTTTCTTTCTTACGCCATATGTGCTGTCATGTGCTTTCATTTACATCTATTAGTCCTTTTTCCTCTTCTCACTTCTCTTATTTATTTACAGGAATGTTGATGGAGTATCTGATTGCAAAACACTTATTTTCTCAGAGGAGAGACACTTATTTACCCACTTTGTGGACATTTTATGTTCTTTTGATCCAGATATTTTAATGGGTTGGGACATACAAGGCGGTTCACTTGGTTTTCTTGCTGAAAGGGCTGCACAGCTTGGCATAAGATTGCTTAATAACATATCTAGGATATCATCTAAGACAAAGGTGGCTCCTGGCATAATGGAAACTCCTGGTAATGGAATTCCAAATAATGTACAGGATGCACCATTAGTTTCTGATTCTGTTCAATTGGAAGAGACAATAATTGAGGATGAGTGGGGCAGAACTCATGCTAGTGGTGTCCATGTTGATGGTAGAATTATTCTCAATGTATGGCGACTAATGCGTGCTGAAGTTAAGCTTCAAATGTACACAATTGAAGCTGTTGCTGAAGCTGTCTTGAGGCGGAAAATCCCATTAATTCCCCATAAAGTATTGAACAGTTGGTTTTTAAGTGGTCCTGGATGTGCAAGGTATCGATGCATCGAATATGTGGTTCAGAGAGTGAAGTTAAACCTCGAGATATTGAATCAACTTGATTTGGTATAATAAGATATTGAGTATCGTGATAAGCTTCGTATTCATTTTGCAGAAATAGTTATCATGATTTTGTCTGTGTGTGTCCCACAACTAACTTTTTTTTTCCATCAAATAGTTGTCTATATATGTATGTTTGTCGTAATATTGTGTTTTTTTTTCAAAAAAAGATATATAATTCAAAAGCATTAAGGGGTGTAAAATCTGCATGCAAAAGTATTTACGATTCAACTAGGATATTGATTAGATCCTATAAATCATCGTGAGGATAAAGAGGATGACTCCTTAACAAAAAATTTAGAGTCTCGAACCAAAAATCCTTAAGTCTATCAAAAATATGGATGACCCTTTAATATTGAGTTTTATACGTATGCATGTATGGTATGTATGTCTTAATGTTGTGTTTTATACATATAATTATTACTGTTTTCTGTTATTATACTATGTGATTACTAAAAGTAACAATTATGTTATCCCCTCTGAATTTACTGGCAAAATTGGCTTAGGAGTTCTCTTTCTGATGCTAGCAGAAGAATCAATTATGTAAAGCATGCTTGAGAGCGCTTAAAGTAGCTTTGTTCAGGTTTTTGCATGGGGGTGTGCTTGGGAAATATCACGAGGCTTGTGCATGCCTATGTGATTCAGATGTGAACATCTGTGGAGACCTTGCCTATTTTCTTCTCCTTTCATATACTATTATTAGAAGAATAAATGCATGACATTGAATTCTGTTAAGTCACTGGTAGCCAAATGAAATCTGATTAGCAATTTTTATCTTGTTTTACCTTCTACTCTCCTTATTTTCATTGCTATCTTATGTCTACCTGTGCAGATAAATCGAACATCAGAACTTGCTCGTGTATTTGGTATTGACTTCTTTTCTGTTCTCTCTCGAGGCTCACAGTATCGTGTCGAATCTATGTTTTTGAGATTGGCTCATACACAAAATTATCTTGCCATATCTCCTGGGAACTCACAGGTAACCTCTGACTTTCCCTACTGATGTCACAAGCCTCCTTAGTTCACGATGTGATGCTACTTACTCTTATATGAGTATACTCTTTGAAGGAAACCTACTAAGTGATAACTTTCAAATTCAGAGAAACTCTGGAATTAAAAATGGGCAATCCTGAACCAAATCCTGTTTTACGAGAACAAACACAAGAGTTCAGAAAGCGAGAAAAGGGGGATAGGTGCAGAGACTCAATGGAAGCTGTTCTAACAAATGGAGTTTATTTGTGATCAATCTTTATTTAATAAAATCTGACCGAAGGTTTTTCAAAGACAAATTCTTTTATAATATTTAATTTTTAACATGTGTTCTGAAGTGTCAGTTTCGGTGTTTCTTTTGATCTTTCTTTTCCTTGCCGTACTTCAGGAAATGGCTATTAAAAATGTTTCGTAAAAATTGTTTTATGCATGTGATTCTTATTCATTTTGAAAACCTTTCCACTTGATAAACTGGTTTTCAGCCTGCAGCTATGTTGCTTATTTCTTAGCAAGTTCTCTAACTTTCATTGTTAATCTTCTTCTGTTCTGACATCATGCAGTTTCTCAAGCAAATTCAGATTTTTTACCCCTTAAAAATTTACTTCATCATTATTTATGCTCCTGGTTGTGCTTTCATATTTTCTCATATCATTTGTATTAGTTGTGGATAAGAGAATGTGAGCAAAATCTTTGTCTTTCTAGGTTGCTTCTCAACCTGCAATGGAGTGTTTACCTCTTGTAATGGAGCCAGAATCTCATTTTTATACAGACCCAGTTGTTGTTTTGGATTTCCAGTCTCTTTATCCCTCAATGGTAATTGCATACAACCTTTGCTTTTGTACATGTCTCGGAAAGGTTGTACCTTCAAAGGCAAATACTCTGGGGGTCAGTTCATTTTCACCGGATCCACATGTTTTACACGACTTAAAAAATCAAGTTCTGCTCACGCCTAACGGTGTTATGTATGTGCCTTCCAAGGTAATTCTCTTGTACAATTTTGCTTCAGAGAATTGTCCTCTCTTATCTGGTGTATGCAACTGTAGGCATGTCTTGTTTGGAAGTTATAGACACATCACTATTCATGGATTTGAAACACAATTGTGTGTCTACTCCCTTACAGCAACTACTAGCAGTGTATTGTCTTGTGTGTCAGTAATGGAACTAACTCTCTTTCCTCTTTGAGCTTAGTGTGGAAGGCATGTGCCATATTGTGTTTGCTTCTTGTTTCAATTTAGTTAAGGTAACAGTTATTGTCTAGAAACTGTGAAATTAATCACACATTCTCAATAAATTGATTGCTTTTATTTGGTTTTTAATTTGAGAAATTTGAGGCTTTTGTTTGGTTATGGTTTGTTCCTTTGATTGTCATTGTTCAATCTTTTAATGACTGGAAAAGGTTGAAACTCATGGCTAAAATATTCTTGTTTTTTAATTGTCGTAATCGGAAGGGTTGGGAGAGGACAGAAGGGGATAACAAGGTATTTGACATTTGAGATTTGACTTTGAGCTCTTTATTCTCTCTTTCTCTGATTTATGTGTTTCTTTTCTCTCTTTCTCCAGTTGTATCCAGTTTCAATTGTATTATATTTGTCTTTGAGCTGTTCTATAATGTTATCTTTCTTGAGAGTTGTACTATAATTTCTTGAAAGTTGTGATTATCATGTATTTCTTCTCGGGAAAGAAGAATGTTATGTCCTTTTTTATTTTGGGAAAATTGTACAGCTTAGGAAAGGTGTACTACCTCGGCTCTTAGAGGAAATACTTTCTACTAGAATAATGCTGAAACAGGCAATGAAGAAGTTAGCTCCTTCACAGCAAGTTCTTCAACGGGTATGTCAACTTCCTAAAATAAAAGCCCACCTCCTATCCAATAGATTCTTGCTCTATTTTTGTGCTTATTGATGGTGTTTTGCTTAAAACCATCTTTTGTATATCTTTTTCCCTAATTTTGGTTTATCAGAAATTAACATTTTTATGTGAATTCTGTTACAGTAGGTGTGGTAAAATGCAAATAATTTCAATGGCAGAGCTTATGGGATCTTCTTGCTCTATTTGTTTGTGTGGCTCTTTTCTTTTCTTTTTTTTATCAGATTAAACTGATACAGATGTATGGGACTAGATTTTTTTTTTGAATATCATGGTTATGTATCTTGTTGTTGAATCTAAATTGTGAAACAAACTCTGAGTTTAACAAATGTTAGATTCTCTGTCCTTGTGACTCTAGTGTAGATTGTATATTTTCAAAGGCATGAGTATACAAGTCCATCTAACAGATTTCACTTTCTTTCAGATATTTAATGCTAGACAGCTTGCTTTGAAGCTCATAGCAAATGTAACATATGGTTATACAGCAGCTGGCTTTAGTGGTCGTATGCCATGTGGCGAGCTTGCAGACAGCATAGTCCAATGTGGCCGTAGGACACTTGAGAAGGCTATTTCATTAGTCAATGCAAATGATAGGTGGAAGGCCAAAGTTGTTTATGGCGATACTGACAGGTACTAGTCAACCTCTAGTTGCCAGTAAGTATCAAAAATATTATTTACACACATTCAACAAGGCTGTCATGAATCAGGCTATTTTGCTGGGTTGTGGTTAATTTGGTTGGAAAGAAACACATGATTTTTGGAGATCATGTCTCTCACTTTTTGATGTAGACATAATAGGGCTACTTTACCTACCAAGCAATTGGGAAAGGCCCTAGATATCATACATAGGGTTCTTAGACATCGCATCTAAAAATTGAGTGAGTTACACAATCAATTATGAGAAATTCTCAAAGATATTATTGAATACTTGAATGATCAATAAGTGAAATTAGAAAACTATTTATAATAATCTATAAGTAGTTTTTTCTAACTAGAATTAAAATAAGTAGTAAAGTAGTAGTGGGTTTCTTACTTAGATGAACATGAGATATATCACCAGTGAAGTGGGAGGATGTAAAAGTACCTGTTAAACAAGGGGGTTTGGGTTGGAGATCTCTTGCTGAGATGAACGTGGCTCAACAAGGTAAATGGATGTGGAGGTTCGTGAAGGATGAGGATAGACTGTGGAAGAGTGTTATTGAGGCCCGTTGGAGGAAGTTTGATGATGGTGGGGTCAGGAGATGTGAGGTGAGACTGCATGGCTTGAGACTATGGAGGAAAACCCTTATGGATCGGCCTAAACTTTAGGTTTTCATTAACTGGAGGTTAGGTAGGGGTTACAGAATCTGGTTTTGCTTGGATGAGTGGATGGATGGGGGTAGTCTTAATAGGCAGTTCCAAAGGATATTTGTTATTGCACAATTGAAGAATATGATTATTAAGGACGCATATAGAGAAGGTAATGGTAACAGAGAGTGGATTGTAAATGTTAACAGGAATCTGAACGACTGGGAAGTTTAAGAATATCAAGCATTGCTATAGCTATTATGAACAGTGCACGTTAATGATAACAGAGACCATATTGTGTGGAAACTGAAACAAAGTAGAAATTCGATGTTAAGTCTTATTAAAGCTATCTGGTGGGAAAAGAGGCAAAAGGGTTTACTAATTTCCCAGCATAGTAGATATGGAAAGTGAAGGCGCTCCAAAGGGTAGCTTTTTTTGCCTGTAAGGTAAGTCGTCAATGCATTTTGACGATTGACAAACTGATGACAAGAGGCAAAATAATGGTGAATGAGTGTTATTTATGCAAGAAAGTTGCAGAATCCTGTAATCATTTTCTCTTATGGTGCCCAAAGACTTATGAATTATGGATAATAGTCTACAGCCTGTTAGGAATTAACTGGGTTATAGCAAGAACGGTGAGAGACGAGATTTGGGTTTGGGAAGGGTTATGTAAAAAGAGAAGTTTTATAAAGCTTATTATGCTAATTATTTTTTGGGTTTTATAAAAAGAAAGGAATAGTAAAACTTTTGAGAATATTGAGGGTGGGAAGCCTAAGATCAAGGATAGATGGTTTCATTATTTGGGTTCTTTGATGTTGAGTCATGACATTTATAGGGTGGAGGATTTTGGGAATGTTATTGATATATTAACATAATTGTAAATCTTTTGTAAATGGGTGGTACCTCCTTAATATCTTGTGAATATACATTTTATATTTTTTATCTTTTAAAAAGTAGTAAAATAGTAAACTTAAGAATACTAATTCTAATAAGAATAAGGAACTAATACTAATAATATTAGAAAGACTAATTCTAATACACATAAAAAAATATTAATAAAAATAAAAATTCTAATTTACTAAAATTGTAATAATACTTTTCAATAATATAGACTTCTAAATAATATAGTAGTTTTACATTGAAAAAAATTATAACTTCTAATATATTTAGGCATAGTTTGCATCATTCTTCTCTAGTTGGAGAGAACTTATCCACGAGTTTTAAAGTGACAAATGATATAAACCTTGATGTTCGAGCTTCCTTATGAAAATTTAACAAACTCTATGCATGGTTGTTTTTTTAAATAGCAAATGTAATAGAAACACTAATTGTTGATGAGTATGAGATCCTGGTTGGAAAATGAATTCAACATATTGACCAATTGAGACTTATACTTTATCTCTAAGCTGAACATCATTGGATCCAATTATTGGTTTAGGTTCCTTCTCGAATTGATCTTTTATAAAACTCTCCGTAGGTAGTGAAAGGTCTTGAATAACTTCAATATTTTTACTTTTAAGAAGACATGGCAGTTATTCTTGTTTCTCAACTTCAATGGGCTCCTCTCTTTATCTTCTTTTCTTTATATTTTTCACTGACTGCAAGTCCTTTTGGACGTTTACATTTATTCATCTCTTCTGTAGTGAAAAACTTTAGAACTACATCTTTTATGTCATGCATAAAACGAGAAATGTTAGTAATCTCATCATACTAAGCGTTTCGATCATAAAGCAAGGTTGACTTAGAAGAATATGTGTGAACATCATAAAACTACATCGCACAAGATTGGATCACTACTAGTACCATGACAAATAGAAATAAGACTTTGTTGAGTTATCAAAATATTCAATTTATCTGTCCATACTAGCCTGTATAGTTGGGGATGTGGTTGCGTCTGAAGATTGAATCATTCAACTGTAGATTAAAATAAGATTTTTCGCAATATTTTTTATAAATAACAAGTTTTTCCTATTTATTTTCACAGCGTGTACTATTTTGAAAATTGGAGAATACTTTGGGTTTTTTTTCAACGTCAACCGCATAATTGTGCTTAACTACAATCAAGAAAAACTTGTCAACTCTGTCATCCTTGAGTGATGACTCATTCTCTTCTCACGATTCCACATACTTTAAACTTTTTTTATCGCAAACTTTCACAAAAGAGACTGTAAAATAAGAAGAATAGCATGAATTACCTTTTGCCAGTTTAGGTTAAACAATCTAGTCAAACTTGCTTAAAAAGTCAAAGAGAGCACAAAACAAAAAGGCCTACTCATGGGTGCACTCGCGTGGGGTTCATGTGCCAGCTTCTGGTCACTGGATTGGCAGCGAGCGTGGGCGGTCAGCTCAACTAGAGGTGCTCCAGATCAAAGGCCAGTGTAGGAGACAACATTTCAGAAGTCCAGATTCATGAGAGGCAGTAGCTGTGGGAGTTTGTGTCGGTGAGTATGGCAGTTCCCAGTGGAGTTCTATGGCAGGGCTTCAGGGGGTGGACAATGGCAGCTGTTTTAAGGTTTTTCTTATTTTTTGTGATTTTCTTTTCAGATAGGTTTGTGACTGTTTGGGTGTAAGGTTTTAAGAATTTGGGTGTAGGACTATCTTAGCTTTAAATACCAAATTGATGTAGGAATTATGGTTAATTTTCCTACTAGGAAATTGGAAAAAGACCTAGATATCACACATAGGGTTTTTAGGTATCACATCTAAGGATTAATTGAATCACACAATCAATTATGAAAAATTTTCAAAGATAGTATTGAATACTTGACTGATCAATAAATAAAATTATAAATCTATGTATAATAATCTCTAAGTAACTTTTCCTAACTAGAATTGAAATAAGAAATAATAAAGTAGTAAAATTAGAAATACTAACCCTGATAAGAATTGGGTATCAGTTAAGCAATGACTCGTTCGGTCAGAAATGAAATCTGGGTCTGGAAGAGCATCAGTTGGTGAAGGAAATTTGTGGACCCTGGACCTTATTCCACTCACCATTTTCTAAGTGATACGGAAGGAGACGAATCGAAAATTTTTTGAGAGAATTGATGATTTAGGGATTTTGATAGGATTAGGAACAGATGATTCTACACCTATGGTTTTTTTTTATTTTGTACCATCCTCTTTATTCTACAGAGGATTTGGAGGATCTTGGTGACATTTTGGAAATATATGTAAATAATATATATATGGGATGACATTTTCTTGGTACCAATTAATATGATTTATACTTTTTATTTCAAAAAGAAAAAACTAATCCTGATAAAGATAAGAAATTAATACTAATAATATTAGGAATATTAATCCTAATACACATAGAAAAATACTAATAAAAATAAAAATTTTAAGTTACTAAAGTTATAGTAATACTCCTCAAATAGACTCCTAAGTAATATAGTAGTTTTACATTAAAAGAATCATAAGTTTTAATCTATTTAGGCATAACTCATTCTGTATTTCCTTTATCTTTTTTGAGATTAAGATGTCTTTTGAATGATGTTTTGGATTAAGAGACATGGGTAATTTAAATATTATTCTTTTTCTATTTAGCACAGAGCTTGATCGGATATCACCTGTCTAGCTTGCTGGTTTTTTCCTGTTCTTCTCCTTTTGTTTTCTTTCTTTAGGGATCATAGCCAGTTGTCCGTAGTTGTACTTCTCTTTCTCTATTTGATAATACTTCTTTTTCATAAAAAATTAAAAGTGTGCCTCTGGCATCTTTTCAGGGACATGCTAATGATTTGTAAGAATTCTTGTCTCCATCTTCCTTTGGTTCTGTTTTACATAGTTTAGCCTTGACAAGCTGAAAATGTTCTATTTTCTACAGCATGTTTGTCCTCTTGAAGGGGCGTACTGTAAAAGAAGCCCTTCAAATTGGGCAAGAGATTGCATCTGCAGTAACTGCGATGAATCCAAATCCAGTTGTGTTGAAGATGGAAAAGGTCTATCACCCATGTTTTCTGCTTACAAAGAAGCGCTATGTTGGTTATAGTTACGAGAGTCCGGAACAGACTGAACCTTTATTTGATGCCAAAGGTATTGAAACAGTTCGCAGAGACACCTGTGGAGCTGTTTCCAAAACAATGGAGCAGTCACTAAGACTATTTTTTGAACATCAGGATATCTCTGAGGTGGATACTCATTCACTTCTTTATCAATGCTTTAATTTTCAGTCCTGAGAATTGACTTAGAATCTTGTCATGTTCTGATATTTCCCTCGTTGTATTCACAGGTTAAAGCATACTTACAACGTCAATGGAAAAGGATTCTATCTGGCAGGGTGTCGTTTCAGGATTTTGTTTTTGCAAAAGAAGTTCGCTTGGGTACCTACAGCTCAAGGGTTCCTTCCTTGCTTCCACCAGCAGCTATTGTAGCCATGAAAGCAATGAGAGCAGATCCCAGGGCAGAGCCTCGGTATGCTGAGCGAGTGCCTTATGTTGTGATCCATGGCGAGCCTGGGGCTCGTTTGGTTGATATGGTGGTGGATCCATTGGACCTTTTGGTCATTGATTCACCTTACAGATTGAATGACTTGTATTACATTAACAAACAGATAATTCCAGCTTTGCAGCGGGTGTTTGGACTTGTTGGAGCTGACTTGAATAGGTGGTTTTCGGAGATGCCCCGCCCTGCCAGGGATACTTTTTCGAAGCGCCAATTACATTCTTCAAACTCAAGTCGAACTAGAATTGAATATTACTATCTATCAAAACATTGCTTATTATGTGGTGATTTAGTCCAGACATCAGCTCATTTATGCAATAAGTGCTTGCAAAGTGGACGTGCTGCAGCAGCAGCTGTTACTGGGAGGACTTCAAAATTGGAGAGAGATATGCATTGCCTTTCTGCTGTGAGTATTTATACATTTTTATAAGATCTATTTAATTTTAGGAGTTGATTGTCAGTGTGGAATATCTTGGTCAATAATTTTCTTCCACATTTTTACATGTTGATGCCCTGTGAGGATTTAGGCAGATAACATAAAATTTTCACTCGTGCATAAAATGTTTACAAATATTTCTGATCATGTTTCAATTCACAAAAGAATTTATCTTATTCACTCGTATTTTTCATTTGATAAACCATCCATCTTTATGGTAAGGTTTCAGTTTCAGACGAAGTTCCAGTCTAAACAACAATACCGATTTTGTCGAGTTCATCAGGATTTGATGCTCTCATTCTTAATTCACTCGTACTGGGTTTTATTGCAGATATGTCGACATTGTGGAGGTGGTGATTGGCTTGTTGAAAGCGGGGTAAAGTGCGTAAGTCTTGCTTGTTCAGTGTTCTATGAGAGGCTTAAAGTTCAGAAAGAGCTCAAGGCTCTTTCCGCTGTTGCCAGAGACAAAGGTTTCTATCCAATGTGTATGATTGAGTGGTTCTAATATTGGATTTAAAGGGTAAG